TGCGTGTCTCAAAAAATTGAACGAGCCAGTCGCACTCAGCATGCATAGCCGCGATATACTTCATGGTGGCCTGGAGCTCCTTGAAGGTCGCGAGCTTGGTCCGCTTGAACTCGGTGAGGTCCATCTCGAGGTCCGCCTTCAATTTCTCCTTATCTGCCAGTGTCTTGGAATCCTCGGCGCGCTTCTTCGCAGACTCGGCCATCATGCTTTCGTAATCCTTCTGCGACTCCTTCTCGTCAGTCTCGGCCTCGGTCATCTCAGTGTCAAGGTCTTTGATGAGTAAGTCAATCATTGCTATCACGCCCGTAGACTCTCCGCCCTTTTTCGCGTACGCGTCCCAAGTCTCCGGCGGCGGTGCAGGTGCGACGCCCACAGCCTGGCGGTGCGCGGATACCTGCGCGAAGACGGTGACACCAGTGTTGGCAATGCCGCCAGGCTGAGTGGTCGTCACGATGTCGTCCGGGTTGCCCATGCTGACAACGATCCTGCTCTCGGCCGACAACTCCGTCTTGGCCGGAGGCGTGTAGAGGGATGGATTGTAGAACTGATTGAGGCGGTTTTTGGCTATCTCCAACAGCTCCTTGGCAGCAGAGTCTGAGGCCATCAGCGCCTTGAACTCCTCGTTCTCGCTTTTGCGCTGGGCCGTAGCCTCTGCGACAGATGCGTCAAGGTCTTTGATCGTGGCAATCAGGGTCGCAATGTCCTCCGTGGCCTGTGCGATCCCGTTCTCCGTCTTGTCGATGGAATTGGTAGTCTTCTCCAACATAAACTCGAGAGACTTCTTCTTGTCGTCGGAGTCATCAAACTGGAGTTCGCAATACTCCTTCTTGTGCTCGTCATCGAGCTGTTCTTGCTTCAGCATAGCCACCATGTCATCGATCATTGCGACAACTTTTGCGAAGGACACCTGGCGACCGGAGAGAGACAGCATGATGAGGTCCAACTTCGTGTGGCCTTGCTGGTCCGCGCGGCGAGCTGACCGCACTGCTGCCAACGCCTCTTTGCGCATGGTAGCCGAGGTCATGTCCACCTGCATAAGGCCAACACCCGGAGCTGGTAACGTCTTCTTAAAGAGCTCAAGAGCATCGTCATCGTTCAATATCTTTATGGTCTCCGCGAGGGCCAGGAGCTCGGCCGCGCGGGTCTTCTTGCGCTCCTCCCACTCCGCAGCCTTCGTGTCGCATCCTTTCTCCAGCTCCGTCAGGAAAGTCTTGTCCTCGGCGAGGCTGTCGGACGTGTCACCCATGTCGTCCTTGATCTGCACAATGAGAACGCCGAGGTCGCCGATCTTCGTCGTCTTGGCCTCGATCGCCTCCGTCAGGGAATTCACCTCCGCCGTCTTGGCTTTCATGAGCTCGCCGTACGTGAAAACCGCCTTCTCCTCAGCGATCATGCTCTCTGCCAGGCTGGTGGCCATGCTGTCCCCAAGCTGCTTCAGCAAACCAACGATCTGCCCGCTCTGCGGGGCGTAGCCCTGCGAGAATGGGTTGCCGGACAAGAAGGACAACAGCGTCTGCCTGTCCTCCTCGAGCATGTCCTGCGTAGCCTGTGAGCGCAGGATTCTCTTCAGGACGTTGACCGACTGAGTCTGCAGGAAGGAGCCCGCCATTCCTTTCTGTAGAGCCGTGGTGGCCTTCACGATCGCGTTGATGTTGGCGACGTACTCGTCCTTGGCGGCGACGAAGGCGGCGTTTTCCCTCTTGCGGATCCCCGTCGCCTCCGCGATCGCAGCCTTGGCGGCAGAGCGGTCCTCCTGGTCCTGCTTCAGGCCCTCCTTCGTTTCCGCGAGCGTGGCCTCGGAGTCCTTCAGCTCGCTGGCGAGCTGGGGGAGCTTCGTCTCCGCGTCGCTGATGCTCTTGGAGAGGTCGCCAGACCCAGTCTTGCAGTAGCACATAAACTTCGAGAACAATTCGGACTCGGCTTCTCCTTCTTGGGTCACCTTTTTCTGCATGGCCTGGAGCATCTGGACGACCTTGCGGACCGGGTTGGCGTGGGTCGCCGCAACGCCCCGCTCACCCGCGCCGGTGGCGAGGACCAGCAGGAGCAGACCGGCGCGCATGGCTGCGGAGACTACGGTGGCTACAATGGGGCACTGCGGTGCGCTGGGATGGCCCGTGGGGGCTTGGTTCGAGACTGCGGGTGCAAGGGAGCACGAGGAGCGAGCCAGGAGGGCCCGTGTGCACCCGTCCTGGTCCCAGGATGGTCCCAGCCAGGACCAGCGCAGGCGCATACAACCGGGGTGTTGGCCTAAGGAACCCTAAATCCGAAATGCCCAAAGAGGAAGCACGTTTGAGGACTCAACCCACGTCAGCATCGTCGTCGTCGCTACCGCCGCCGCCGCCGTCGTCGTTCCTCTTCAGGGTCGGCGGCACCGGCCGTAAGGCCTTCGCAATCCGAAATAAGGAGCGAGGCCCCTTCTTTCCCATCAGTTGACAGTCGGTTTACCAGCGCAGACCGAAGGAACACCTGAGGCAAACTGTGAATCACCCGAGGAACACGG